CTGCTGAAAGCTGGAGTTTTCTAGCCAGGTGAGGTGCGCTCACGGGGTATTTTGGCTCGCACATCTTCACTATTCACATTAGAAGGCTGACCCTGCATGACACAGGCACGTGGCTCTTTTAGGCAGTAGGAACGTTGCCATCTTGTAATTTAATTACAAAGGATCCCTGTTGTATCTCATTCACTTTCACAATGTTTGAATGGTATTAATGATCTCAGTAATGTTTTATTTTTTTAAGTTTTAAAAACTTAATTTTATCCCATTCCCCTTTCATCAGTAATGTTTTATAAATGAGAAAACTAAGGCACAAAGTGATAAAGTAGTTGGCGGGCATAATTTTTTTAGAGCCTTTGAAAAGAAAATTATGGGTTCACATGAAGCAAACTTTCTTTACATTCTGTTTTATAGCTCAACATAATGGTTTTAGCAGCTCAGTTTTAAAGGAATTTTTCATGGGATATTATTTTTGTTTTCCTTCTGAGATGTGATAATTTCTAATCTGTAGTTTTGCATACATAGTGAGTGTGTGTGTGTGTGTGTGTGTGTGTGTGTGTGTGTAGTAGGTAATAATCTTCACCTTTTTCTTTGATAATAGCTTTAAATTCATTGCAACTAGAAGACTTTCAGTTTTGATTCAGGTGTCCTTCCATTCCCTTTGGAAATAGGAAACCTGACCCAGTTCTTTTTTGAGAATTTATCTCAAAGAACAGTATGTTATAATATTTTTGTTCTTCTAATCAAGTCAAGTTTAAGAACTGGCAAGCATCCATAGCTTCTGTTCTTTTTGGGGGGAGGAGTAGGGGGGTTGAGGCAGGGTCTCACTATGTAGTCGAGACTGACCTGGAACTCACTATGTAGTCCAGGCTGGTCTGGAAGTCATAGCAATCCTCCTGCCTCAGCCTTCCGAGGGGTAGGATTATAGGTGTGCACAGCCATGCCCGGCAGTAGCTTTTGTTCTTTAATGTGAGAATGATCCTGTCCCTTGGTTAAGATTTACTTTGATTGTTATATTTAGTAGACCTGGGATATAAGGATGTTATCTGAGGTTAATTAACTACTTACTGCAGAAAATAAATTATTCTTCATTTACAACTTTTCTCTTATTTTTGTTAGTGATTTTAACACTGATTGTTAAAGTATATTCTAAGAGAAGAATGCCATATATAGTAGAAATTAATTTTTTGTTGAATAAAATTTGGATTATTGCCAAATTCATTATGACTTTATTGCTGTATCAGTATAATTTATTGATTAAAAAATTGACCTTCACTTTAATTTATATGGTGTATGAGTCTTGGTAAGTTGAAATTTAGTCTGAAAGTAAGTCTTGGTTAAGTTCTGGTTAAGAGAAAACATGTGTTGGACCAACTCTTTTTGTTTTGTTTTGTGTTGTTTTGGTACCAGAGATCAAACTCGGGTCCTTGTGCTTGCGAGGCAGGTAGCAAAACCACTGAGCTAAATCCCTGGCCTCTGTTGGACCAACTCTTAATGATTGCATTACTGTACTTTGAAAATATTTAGAAACAAACATTGAGAACCTTATGTAATGTTTAATGTTAGATGTATATTAAAATTTTCTATATATTAAAAGATTAATGCAGTTCTTTACCTGTACTTGATAAGCAGAGAGTGTAATTGGAGGGAAATAGCATGGATGGGGAGAGGATGGAAAGTTGAGGGTGGGGGATTGTTTTAATTTTTTCAAAATACCATAACAGTACTATGAACTGGGTGTCTTAAACAACAGATCTTTACTCTTCACAGTTCTGCAGGTCGGAAGTCTGAAATCAAGGTTTTAGCGGAGCTCTGCTCTCTGCGAGACCCTTCCTTGTCCCTTCCTAGCTTCCAGTGGATGTCTAGGTCCTTGGCTTATCCACGAGCCACCACACTCTGTCTCTGTCATCACCTGCTGTTCTTCCTCTGTGTGTCTGTGTCCAGATTTCTCTCTTAAAAGTGTGCCGCTCAAGTGGGTGTGGTGTCACATGCCTGTAATCACAGCCCTTGGGAGGCTGAGACAGGAGGACCATTAGTTTGAACCAGCCAGGCTTCACGAAAAACAAAAAGGAAAGGATGCAAGTCTGGCTGGATTTAGGGTTAGGGCTCACATGACCTCATCGTAACTTGAGTGGTAGATTCTGGGTGCATGTGATTGGAGGAGATGTGCTAGTCAACCCAGGAAGGAGATGCGGATTCATTTATGTTTTTATATCTAAACCATTTACACTTGTTAGGTTTATCTACATTATATAAAACAAATGAGATACATTTTATATTAAAAAATCTTACTTTATTTGCACTTATCACATATGTGTTTTCCACAGCACAGGCCTAGGTCTGTTCTGTTCTCCATTCATTTAGCAGAGGATGTATTAAAAGAACTTTGACCTCAGCACTCTGGAAGCTGATGCAGAAGCTTTGCAAGTTTGAACTCAGCCTGGTAACTTAGTGACATAGCAAAACTCTGTCTTAAAAAAAATTTAAAATACAAAGGCCCAGGATTCAATCCCCAGTGCAGAAAGAAAAAAACAATTAATGGTATGCGTGTTTTTCTGTCTCCATTGAAAGGTTGTGTTTTACCCAACACCTGAAGTTAAAGGAGGAAAATTTTATTTTGACTCACAGTTTGTAGAGGTTTCAGCCCATAATCAGCTAGCTCTAAGGCAGGGTGGCATCACAGAGGAGGAACAGTTCATGGCATGGCAGAAAGCAGAAGGCAAACAGCAGCAGCAGCAGCAAGCAAGTGAAATGTGGCAAGCAACAAGCAGGGACCCTCTCTCTGTCCCTTATATCCTATCCAGCCTGCCCACCCTGAGGGTGGATAGCACTCACACCCAGGGTGGGGCATCCTCAATCCTACCCAGAACTATGCCAAACCAGTTAGTAGACTAATTTAGTAGTCACACACCTTGATCCCAGCATCACACACTCTAGATCCAGCCACGTATGAAAAGCCCCACTTATGACTTTGTGAGGCTTTGGGAGGACACTTAGATGTAAGCCATAACAGACTGTCAACAAGACCATGATGTGGAAAGTCTTTATATAGTAGATATATTCTCCCTTCCTTTTAAAAACACAGTTGGTAGCATCCTTCACCTTGCTGTGGACTTTGCTTTTATGACTGATAGTACATAAATGCTGTGGTTTCATAGTCGCTCATTAAGCAGATGTATCATAATTCATCATAATTCAATTCATTCATAATTCAATGATGATCAATACTAATAGTTTTGAGTTACTTCTGACTTTTCAATACATTGGGTAACTGGTTTAGTCAGATTTTGGTTACTATGACAAAATACCTCAGATAAACCACTTGTAAGGAGGAGAGGCTCATTTTGGCTCATACTTTAAGGGATTTCAGTCCATGATCACTTTGCTCTGTAGCTTTGGGTCTGTGGTGGGAGCAGTTGGTGGAGTAAAACTATTCACCTTTTGTCAGCTGGGAGGCAGAGATAGGAAGTGACCTGGGTCCTAATAACTCCCTGAGGACAGCCCCCAGGGACCTTCCCTCCTTCCACAAGGCCCCGCCTGTTAAAGGTCCCACCACCTCCCGTGAACACCACAGGCTGACGACCACGCCTTGTCGCGTTTGTGCCTTTGGGAGCTCTTTAAGATTCACACCACAGCAGTAGCACATAAATTTTACTCATTCTTAAAAAAATTAGCTGTAGTAAGTACACTGTTTTGTGATTTGCCTTGCTGTAGTTGATCCAAAGAAAAACAAGGCACAGGTTTCTCCTACTGTGCTCACACAGCTCAGATCATTTCTAACACTAGATGCAGGGCCGTTTTCCCTGAAACCACCAGTTTCAGTTTTGCAGTGCGTGCCAGCCAGGTGCCCTCTAATCCAGCTCTCTGACACAAGAGTCCATCCCATCCCACAGGTTGAGGGCTTAGACATCAGGCCCAAGTTATTTCACCTGTGCTTCAGGCTCCCCACACTCACACCTTGGGTTCTGTGCTGGAGCAGCTCGTAGAACTCGAGGAAATGCATTTCACTGTTATAGTTGTTTCTTCTGCACTATTACAAAGAATGGCACAGGGCTGGGGATTTAGCTCAGTGGTGCCACCACGTTCCTGGCAAGCACAAGGTCCAGAGTTCAATCACTGTACCAAAAAACAAAACAAAATAAAACGGAATGGCACAAAGACTTCAGGTGAAGAGATGCATGGCACAAGTTATAAGGCAAGGATGCTGAGCCTGTGTGGGTTCTCTGGGGACCTCGCTGTGTATCTGATGCTGGTAGGTGGATGGGGAAACCCAGCGGGACCCCTCTGTTCAGTATTTCCCCTTCCTGGCTGTGGGTCAGGACCCCTTCAGAAATAGGAGTCTTACCCTCTGCTGTCATGCACAACAGGTCAGACAAAGGCGGGGAAGACTAGGGAAGATAAACTCTGGTTTCTGTAGCCCACCATGAAGAGGAACTTACAACCCAAGAGTGTTACACAAAACCCGCAAAGTATATATTGGCGTGGGTGATATGGTTTTATGGGAATTAATGTCTAGAGATACCCGTCATTCTTTTAATGGATTTATTCTCTTCTATAACAGTTTTCTTGTCTGTATCCCTTGTTGGTAAGCATTTAAGTTACAATAAATATTCTTTATTCCTATTTGGCCAATCCTATTTGGATTCTGTAGAATAAATTCTAGGAAGTGGAATTTGTAGGTCAACAGTGTGACCATTGTATATATTTTTAAAATTTATTTGTTTATTATTTGGTACCAGGGATCGAACTCGGGCCCTTGAGCTTGTGAGGCAGGCAGCGGAGCCACTGAGCCAAACCTCCAGCCCAACATTTTACATTTTAATGGTTGTTTGGAATTCTATAAAATATATCAACGTTCTGGTTTGTATAGGAAATAGTCCCAGTTCTCAACCTTCAGAAGTTTTACCTGGATGACATACAGTAATATGTTCATTTTTTCCTAATAGAAATGTTCCGGTCCTGTAAAAATCTTTAAAATGATACTTTGAAACGTTTTACTCTTGCAGTGATGGAATGGGGGGAAGATGTTAAAGCGATCTGGAAAGATGAAGCCGTGGTGTTGGTGAACCATCAGTCCACGGGAGACGTGTGCACGCTGATGATGTGCCTGCAGGACAAAGGACTGGTGAGGCCACCGCGGGCCACTGGTTGCTGGGGAGGGAGAGCCCGAGCAGTGAATCTGTGTCACTCCAGGGGGGCGGTTTAGAGACTTACAAAAATAAGTACCTGGTGCAATGTGAATTATATCTCATTAAACTGTTTTTAAACATAACTGGGCTAAAAGCAAAGTTAATATCGTTCAAATGAAAGGCTAGCGTGAGATGAAGTGTCACGTTACCTGTTTGAGAAGTATAAACACACAAACAGAACTGTTGCTGAAGACAGGAGAGTGAAATCAACCAGTGAATTGGACAGTTTTGCAAATCTTTAGCCAAAAGAAAGCAAGGTCCATGTTAATTTGGATTTTGTTCACAAGTCAATTGAAAGAAAAGATATTAGGCTTGTTTTATCCATTGTTAGCAAGACTGTCTGAGCTGTTGATTTTACATTACTTATATAAAAAAATTAAAACATGACTACATAAGGTAGATTTAAAAGATCAATTTGGTCTTCAGTGTCTGTCTCTGGTGGCAGGTGAGCTGGCCCTAGAGAGCCTGTGTGGCAGGGACAAGGCCAGGTCTTGTGTTGGTCCGGGGAATGCTGTGAATTTCTCTTACAGGAGAAGTCATTGAACCTTTTCAACTGTATCAGAGCACATAGTATTTTTGTATGAAAAGCAAACTTCTGAACAATAATCCATTTAATTGTAAGACATATTGAAATTTAAAAAATAAAAAAATACGACCTTTATCATAAAAAGTTACCACCTTATAGGTTAATGAAGTTTCTCCATACAAAACTAAATGAAAAGTGTTTAGAATTAATGAAGTTTATATTCGTCCCAGTAGTAAGGAAACAAATCAGCACATGTTCACAAAGTGTTTAATCTGCGGGGTCAGTGACTGCACGGGGTGTGGACCCCCTTCTCACAGATCACGAGCAGTGTGGGAGGACTTTACTGGAGGGTGTCGTGTGCTCAGCGCCGTACTTGACAGGAAACTGCAGAGGGGAAGAGCGTAGACTTGGCCTTAAACATAAAGGATGAGGAGAGTTTAGTGAGGTGGAAGGTAGAGCGGGGGCCTTCTTCCTTAGTGAAACTCCCTTGGCAAAAACGCAGATGTGCCAGTAAGCCTATTTTATTTGTTAGGTCCTAGAGACTGATTTACCAGGTCAGGGTAGCATTAAAAAATGAATGAGATTAAAGGGAACCATGAGGACTAGGACTGTGGCTTGGTGCTAGAGGCCTTGCCTTGCATGTGTGAAAGGCCATCTGTTCCATCCCAGCACCACAAAAATGAAGTAAATAAATAAATTAAAATATATTTGGTTTAGCCAGGTGTGGTGGCAAATGCCTATAATCTCCCAGCACTTGGGAGGCTGAGGCAGGAGGATTGCTGTGAGTTTGAGACCAGCCTGGGCTACATAGTGAGTTTCAGGTCAGTCTCAACTACATAGTGAGACCCTGTCTCAAAAAACCAAAAAAGAAAAAAATATATATGCATACATACATGTGTGTGTGTGTGTGTGTGTATTTGGTTATTATAGAATTTGTTTTTTTTATTTATCTGAAAAGCAAAAGTGTAATCTTTCCAGAATGTGAAATAAATTTAATCTTTTCTTATATTCAGAATCTTAAACTGTTAGAAGAATACTACTGTGTAAATATATTGTATTTATGATAATACTGCTTGTTCCTTAAGTTCATGATGTTAAAATTTTGCAAAATCTGCTTTGACTTCTTATAAAAAAGAATCCCCAGTTAGCTAACATTTTTATTCTGATCGGTGTGATGTTTGCATGTATAGTGATTATTCTGAGGGCATAGAGTGTCCTGGAATGGATTCAGTTGATTCCCTCAACCTGGTTGATTTGCTGTGTAATGATCCCTTCTTTCAGGAATATGAAACATGGGACAAATTGTCTTATTTTCTAGCTGTGCTGGTATCTTTCTAATAAGTATCTGTGAAGTAAGGAGTCTTGTCTTTTTTTGACAGCTCATTATAAAACTAAGAATATGTATTTCTAGGGAATTTTATTAAATGTTTAACAAATATTTATTGATTTAAAATATTTCCCCTAAAATAAGTTAGGACAGAATCATTCCTACAAATCTCAGGATATAGGTTGGCTGTCTTCCTGAATTTATTATTTGTTGTAGGCAACCCTTCTTAGTGAAGAGGTAAAATATGCTGTTCTCAGGTGATCAAACATAAAAGCGAATCACTTTGGTGTTGCTGTTTGAAACCCAGAGGCCAATAAAGTGCAGCTACACTTCATACTGTACATAAAGTTGAAATGTTTTATAGCTTGAGTCTGCTTTTTTGGTTGTTGTTTATTGGTCAGTTTTCCACAAATTCTGTTTAGCTCACTTCTTGATTTATTTAAACAAAGTTGTCCTCGTTGCAGAACATGAAGGGGGGCATGCTGGTGATTACTCTGTGTTAATCCATGTGGTGGCTCAGTTCTTCATGGGCACAGATCTTTCTTCATAGGTGTTTAATTGTTAAAAGTGATTGAATACCTGGCGAAGTTGTTTCTGAAATTGAAGGCAGGAGCTGTAGCGTTACACGGATGGGTTTTACAGTGCTTTAGTGAAAACAGCCCATGAGCGCCACTGCTGTTCCTGAGAGTTTGGTGCTTGCAGGGAGTGTTCGCGTTTTGATTCCCACCAGAAACCAAGGTGGAGCTCATTGCACTCTCACTGAGGTTGCAGCTCTTGCTTCATTTAAGACTCCTAACAAGGGATGCTGTTCCTCAGCAGGAAAAGAACTATTAACCAGCTCCCTGATTAGATCCTGTTTATACTTTTCATTTTTAAATTTGCTTGAAATGAAGTCTTCTGCCCTCACGATGGGAATTAACTCTTGTCAGCAATGCGTAATATTTTTACAATTAACAACTGGGGTATTATAAATATTTTTATGCTGGCAGAGAGTATGACCTTGATGAGCATAATGAGTGTTTTTCATAACAGTAGAATGCATAAGTCACTGTATAAATTGTTTTCAAAATGTTCTTATTGTGGACATTGACGTTTTATTTTAGACGTTAATGTATGCTCACATTTTATGAAGTTTTAATGCTTATAATTACATGCGCTGTCCTAATTTGTTAACTTTAACCATTTTATTTTTTATTTTTATTTTTATTTATTTATTTATTTCCGGTACCAGGGATCAAACTCAGGACTTTGCACTTACAGGGCAGACGCAGCACCACTGAGCTAAATCCCTGGCCCTTAACCATTTTATTGTACTGATTCAAAATAATTAATTAACAGAGACCATGTTTAAGGTAGAACAGATTTGAAATCATTAAATCCAAATTTAAGAAGTTAATTCGGCTTCATTTGTTATACAGTGATATGTATGTAAACATGTCTTTCCATTTATATATCCATATATATATGACTTAGGATTCTAGCACTTGAAATTTAAACCTGTACACTATTAGTAACCATACTGTAAATGTAGAAAGAGCGTTAGATTTTAAATATTGAGGTTAAAGTGTACTTGGATGATTATATTTAAAACTTAGGATACTTGGCTAGACTGTAGTCAGGTGGCTTTACTTATCGCTTGCTTTTAAATATTGTAGGTTGTCGCTCAGATGATGTGGCTGATGGATCATATTTTTAAGTATACAAACTTTGGAATTGTTTCTCTAATTCACGGAGACTTCTTTATAAGACAGGTAAGTGGTGAGCATTCTTTTCACAGTGATAGCGTGGTCACACCAACCCTTCAGAGGGCATAACAAAAACAGCTGTAGTAAGTAGGTCAGTTCTGGAGTGTGGAGGAGCCGTCCTCTGATCTTCATACCCTAAACATTCCTTTCAGTCTCAATTGGAGTATGCCTCAGCCAGCAGAAAGGTGCTTACAGCGCAGCTGTTCAAATCTCCCCTCTCATCTAGAGTACAGCTCTGTTTAGTAAACATTTAGCAGGAATCTGCCGTATTCCTTTGTTCTTTAGCTTCTTAGCTATGTGAATTGGGCAAATTACAGATATGCTCAAAGTTCCTCATTTTTCAGGTGAAAATAAGAGTAATCCCTCAGACATTTGCGGAGCGTAAATAAAGTAATACACATGAGGCGCTCGGAGCGGTACCTGCGACCTTCATCATTTTTATTATGGTCACCACTGTCACTAGCTATATTATTCCTGTTATTTGTATGTGTAGGGCCCTGTTACATGATACAGAAAATACCTCAGTTACCAGTAGGGAGATCAGTTAATTAATAATAGGAAATGTGGGAATTCACAGGAAAAGTGAGTGTATCTGATTTCTGCAAAACAAGAAAAATATTAGCAGAGAAACAATAATGTGACCTAAACTTTAGAGTAGGTGTGGATTTGATGATGAAGGTGTGTTGGAAAGGGTCCGAGGCGTAAGGTGTGGATTCACATGGGAAGAATGGTAACCTCTTCCGGTCAGCTTTGCATGACGGTATTCTCTAGTGTGCAAACAGCCTCACGTACTTCATTCTCTCCAAAATGGAGACCAAAAGCAAAAGCAGTATAGAAGAGTTTTATGTGAGATAATGCCAACTTCCTTGGTGTTTATATAGTAGCGATTTTAACCTGGATTGTGTAGTGCTTTTCACATAAGTACTTAATGAATACCTGGCAAATCAAATGAATTTTCTCTAAGAAGCACAAACTCAGAAATAAGCTGGAATTGATTAGAAAAGCTCTAAGCTATGTGAAATCAGGTAGAACACGTCCACTGTGCTGCACAGTTTTGTGAACATGCTTTCGTCTACATGCTCTGCAATTCTCTGGTTTCTTCTGGAAACATAATTGCTGATCTAAGCAGAGAGAGAAGTAGAAGCTTGGGCTGGGCCCCTAAGTGGTGATAGGGATTGGCCTGAGGTCAAGACAAGGCGCCTTAGCGAAACCGGAGCCCAACACCTCAGAGAAGACGGCGGAACCCACGGTTAGAAGGCTGAGCAGCCAGGAAGGATCCAGAGCAGGTGCCAGCTGAGCCCCTGCTTGCAAAGAGGTCTGCTCTCCATTGTGTGGAGCATTTGGTCCTAGGGATGACCCTCACACGTCAGGATGAAGCCGTTGTGCTTAAATTGCTCTGATACATTTTTCTTGTTACTGCAGTGTAAATTTTGCATATATAAATACTGTTTTTTTAAGGTACCTGGGAGATTTGCAAATTCATTTCTAAAGAGCAACATTTTCCCTCAGAGATTAATAGTAAAAATCTATAACATGGGACAAGGTGAGGGTGGAATAGAAAAAGTATTAATGACTTTTAACAAATCACCTGGGACTTTTCTGCTAGATCATTTTGAAAAGATTTTCCAAGAATAGTTAAAAATATTTCACATGTAGACTTGGGAACTTAAAAGCTATCTTAATCAGTTGAATTCAGTGAACTGGCTTAAAAAATGTCTTCCTTCTTTTGCATTTGAGGTACATTTAATCTGAAAAACGGAAGCATACCAATTATTTTGAAGAGCTTCTGTAATTGTGTTGTTGGAAATTACCAAGAAATTAATCCTTCTGAGAGGAAGAACCTTTATGATACTTAGTGTAGGTCTGGGGCCTTCCTCCAGCTTTTCTGGATGCTGGTTTCCAGCCTTCAGGTCATCCTGCTTCCTCTTCCCTCCCAGCCCCGATCCAGCCCGTCATTGTGTCTGTTAGTTCAGCTTTCACATCCTACCGAGTGCACCCGCCTCTCCTGAGAGCACCGAGGCCAGCTCATCCCGCTCCCTGTGGGCATTGCAGAGGTCCCTCATTTCTCTTCTCTAGTCCCCCTGTCACAGGCACCGATGTGAATATCATAACACTTTCTTGGTGAAAATGACCCAGTGATTTCTTGTCTCTGCCTGTTCACAAAGTTCTTTGGATGTGGCCTCTGCCTTCCTCTGCTCTGTCCTCTCTGACCACTGCCACCTGCCACGCTGGCCTCCTACTGTTCTTTGACCGCGCCAGCTCGTTCTGACCTCTGGACTTTTGCCCTTTTGCTCCTGTCACTTGGAAAGTGCTGGCCCTCTTCTTCATGTGACTTTCCCCTCACAGATGTCACTTTGTCAGAGCAGCTTAGAGGATTGCACCCAGAGCCTTTCCATCCCCGGCTCTTTTCATATTTTTTATTTTGAGACAACTTGTTGCCAACTTGCCCAGACTGGGCCTGAACTTACCATCCTCCTGCCTCAGCTTCCCAGAGTGCTGAAATTACTGGCATGTCCCAGGGCACCCACTTCCCAAACTGGGATTGCAGTTATTCTGAGGACCTCCTGTTGCTCTGCTGTCTGAGTGTGGGACAGTGCTTGGTAATGATAGTCGCTCTGTGTGTGGTCATTGGATTTGTCTAAGTGCTAATCATGTCTGTCTTTTTACCACAGAGATCCAAAAGGGAAGTAAGTGGGAGGATCCACTATTCTGTGATTGGTTTTAATTTAGAAGTTGCTATATATATTTTTTGTTGTTGTTTTGGTTTGGTTTTTTGAGACAAGGTCTCCTTTTTTAATTCAGGCTGGCCTTGAACTCACTGTGTAGTTAGTCCAGGCTGGCCTCAAGCTCGCAGTGATCCTCCTGCCTCAGCCTCCCTAGTACAGGATTATGGGCATGTGCCACCCCACCCAGCTGTTACTTGTAATCTTATTGCCGTATTTTTATTTCCTGTGTACCTGTCCTGACTATGTGTCTACTTTCTAGGGAAAATCTCATCGTGACCAACAGCTGCTGCTTCTCAAGAAGCACCTAGAAAATAATTACAGAAGCAGAGATCGAAAATGGATTGTCTTGTTTCCAGAAGGGGGCTTCCTCAGAAAGAGGAGAGAAACAAGTCAGGCATTTGCCAAGAAAAATAACTTGCCATTTCTTACACATGTCACCTTGCCAAGGGTTGGGGCAACACAAATTATTTTGAATGCACTTGTAGCACGACAGGAAAATGGAAGTCCAGCAGGAGGAGATGCTAAAGAACTAGGTATGATGTTTTCAGCATTTCTTTTTTTTTTTTTGTATGGGGGATCAAACTCAGGACCTGTGTCTGTGAGGCAGGCAGCAGAACCACTGAGCTAAATTCATGGCTCTCAGTATTTCTTACTTGTTCCAATTGAAAGGTATAATTGTTGTACTTTTTTTTTTATAACTCTTGTTGGAACTGACGTTTAGCAAGAAGATGAAACAAATTTTTAATTTTTCATTTATCAAATTTAGAAAGTTTTTGTTTGCTTTTATTCAGGCTGGCCTTGAACTCACGGCAATCTTGTCTCAGCATCCCAGGTGCTGGGATTATGGGTGTGCCACCACACTCGGCCAGTTTTGTGTTTTTAACACAGAAAATAAATTTAATGTAGTTTGGTTATGTTTACTAACACTTGTAAGGTGTTAATAAATGACTCGGTTATTCCATTATAAATACTACTTGTCAAAAGGAAATAATCTGAAGTATAGACAAAGAAATGTACTGCAGGGCCGGGGATTTAGCTCAGTGTTCCACCACCTGCCTTGCAAGTGCAGGGGCCCGAGTTCAATCTCCAGGAAGAAAGAAAGAAAGAGAGAGAAATTTACTGCAGCACTATTTGAAATAAACAGAAGGGAGAATGGACAAGTCATTATGGAGTATCCAGACAGCAGACTACAACAGCTGTCACAGCGGTGTTCCGGGCCTTTCCTGTAATGTTCACAGGGGAGAAGCCTGCAGTGCTTGTGAAAGAGGTGTGAGCACAAGTCTGTGCACAGCACGTAGCAGGGCACGACTGAAGGAGACACCGAGTGTGGGCAGTAATGGTGTCTCTGAGGTGGAACGTGGGTGATGTCTCCATTTCTTAGTACTTTTCTGAATTTTCCAACCCTTTAAATAATGCGTATTACCTTTAGAGCCAGGAAAAAGTAAGCCACGCTCGAAGATACAATTTTCCTGGAGATGGCCTCCTGAAAAGAGGTAGAATTCCACTAGGCCCGCTTCCTCAGTCACATATTGCTATTTTAGTATTTTTTAAATTAAGAAAAATTGATATGAGTAGCTCTTCAAAATCCGCTTTCGCATGATGATAAAGAGCAGATGGAGAAATGATGCCGGCGAGGCTGCACCGCGGTCCTCCTTTCATTGTTTTTTTCAAGCAGCTCTTTGGCAGTCATTGCTCATAATCTTTCATCATTTATTAAAAAGATGAATTGAATCTTTGAATAGAAAAGGAAAGTTCAGAATAGCTGCTAGAAGGACACCATTGCAACGCCAGCCAAGCCGAGCCGAGAGACAGAGTCTGGCAGGCGGGCGGTCACCCCGGAAAGA